TTGATGCGTCCAACTTTATGCTCCCGAACCTGGTCGCCTTCAGACTTGTTCTATCCTCCCCTGCCCAGCATAGTCTACCTCATGGGTCTTTGGGAAACTAAACAGGAGGGGTAGGCTATGAGCATTATTCTTAAGAGGAGAAAAAGGAGAAAGTATAGAGTTCTAGATTCCGTTTCTATTTTGGTCTTCAGCAGGGAAAGATCTTTGTTATCTGCTCCCAGTGCTTTGAATAAAAGATGCTTTAGACCAGAGTTTCTCAACCTGGACAACTTTGAAGACGTGTGGACTTCAACTCCCAGAATCCCCCTGGCTGAGGGATTCTGGGAGTTGACGTCCACGTGTCTTAAAGTTGAGAAACCGGCTTTAGCCTGAACCAGGCACTCTCTCCCTGCCAACCACTGGATTATGTTCAAACTGATGTACTCAAAACATCCCTACCTCCCCCCAACCAATGGATCAGAAAGATGCCAGATATATTTTTAAATAAACATCCCACAGGAAGTCTGTCCTGTACCAGATTCCAAGCTGCTAAGCCTACAAAGGAGTTAAACCAACAATCCGGGCGTGAGACGAGCCCGACTCGCTCTGTTCCTCAAGTTTGTCCAGCGACATGAACACTAATTTCCAAAAGGAACAACTTTCTGGGGTAGCCTCCCTCGGTTATCCCAAACAGCTAGCGTGTCTGGCAGCCTTTCAGAGCTGTAGATCAGGCTTGCAGACTGTGGGAGAAGAAGACATCAACAGCATGACTAACAAGAGCTACAAATGCTCCATCCTCAAAATGTGTAGGAACGTAAATAAACGCAAACAAGGGCGGCTTTTTAAACTCAGCAACGCTGGGCCACTTCAAACACATCTGGAAAATGGTGCTGATAGCAATCAAAGCGGTGACACTTTATGTAGAGTAGAAGCACGGGAAGACATGGGTTGTTATCTGCAAAACTAAACAGCTGCTGGGAGGCAAGGTGTGAGGTTATTTGGCTAGTCGCAAAAAAAGAATCTGGGAACTGTAGCCAAGAGTGAGACATGGCTGTGATACAGCCAAAGGCAATTGCAATCACGCTTTCAAAACTGTGAGGAAATTATACTGCCAATGAATTGGTAAGGTCCCCTCTTGATAAGATAAGATAAGATAACCTTTATTGTCATTTTTATACTGTGGGCACAATGGCACACAGTAGACCCTATTCTGGGTGCCTGATCTCCAGATGGATCCCATCCGGACAAGCAGGAGAGGATGGTGAGGATGTGATCCAATGAGTCGTGTCCGACTCTTGGCGATCTCTACATCTCCTGATCCTGCACTATTTGAGTTGTTCTATGCTCCGTGGACCGAAGGGGGGGGGGCTGGTTTCATGTACTGCCTGCATCCTGCGGATGGGGCTTTGCTTGTTTGCGTGGACCAGTTTCTGGCCTGCTGCGGCCCGGTGCCAGTCCACAGACCAGGGGTTGGGGACCCCTGCTCTAAAGAGGGACTTGGGAAATTTTAGCTCGAGAAGTGGTGGGCTTCCCTTCACTTGATGTAGTCCAATAGAGTTTACGCTGCTGGCTTTCCCCACTGGCTTGAGAATTCTGGTAGTTAAAGTCAACCTATTTTAAGAGTTGCCAATGTTGAGAAAGACCGCATCATTCTAGGGCACAGTCTTGTTGGGGTCTTCCCTTGCCTGCCCTCCTGTGGACTTCAAATTAAACAGACTGGGATAAGAGCTTTCTCTCTCTCCCCCCCCCCCCCACTGCTCCCTGTGAGCAATCCTCCAAGAATGTCTGTTGGCAGCCGTAGCTTACATACATTACGATGTGGTAGAACTCACCAACGGGATAAGTAACGTTTGGGAAATTCTGATTCTCTGGCGGTTTTTAAACTGACTGTACTTTCTCTGATTCATCACTGGGTTTTGCCCTCTATTACCCTGTCAGCATCGGTGCCCCCTTTATCTGCTGGATGTGGACGATGGGGCACCAGGTCACTTTGGGCTGTGGTTTACGGGAAGAGAGTCTTCAGGTAGACTGAGCACGCTGTTCGAAATGTGGGAAGCTACCTCTGCTTTGCCTAGTGGGCCTCCAGCGTGTTCAGCCAAAGGAGGCCTTGAAATCGTACCCGGTCAGTTCAGCTGCCAAAAATCTCTCTCCCATTTTCCAAAAACAGATGACCCAATGCCTCTGCAGCACACAGAGATGTTGGCTGCCCATCTTCTACCCTCTGCAGATAAAAAGCTCCGTTTGGTTACCGGTACAGAGAGATCAGGCCCCTTTTAAAAGCCGTGGGACCTGGTGACCTTTGGGGCAGGGGAGAAACAGAGACTTTCAGAAGTGAACACGGTTATGGTTTTTCTCGCCTCTTTGCCCCCAAGATGTTCAATGGCAGAGAAAGCAAAGTTAAAAAGGCAGTCTCTCTCTCTCTCTCTCTCTTTTTTTTTTTTTTCCTGATCCTGGAATTGGCCAAAACCTATTTCACAAGGATTGTTCTGAGAAGCGAGTAAATGCTGAAGGAAAGGATTTTCCCCTGCCTTCCCGACCTTTTTGGAGGAAAAAAACAAATATATTGTCCGGGCGTTCCGCTATTTCCACGACATACGTTCCCTCCATTAGCAGTCATTTTGGTTTGTAATGGTAGGATCTGTACAGTAATTGAAGATAGTTCTCTAAAAAAAAGTCTTTTTTTTCTCTCCCCTGGCATCTGCTTCCAGGTTCAAATACAGAAAGATCCCAGAATCTTATATATAGATATATATGCCTTTTTTTTCTCTCTATTCAAAAACTTTTAAACAAATGTGAGGGGGCCACCAAGTGGTAGAAAACAAGACAACAACACTATGGGATATTTTACATCTTGTTGCCAATTAGCAATGCTTCAGCATTATTTATTAAATTTATTTGCTGCCATCTCGCCACAAGGCAACTCAGTATTTCAGACAATAAGATGTCACCAGTGCCGTTGTGTTACACACAAATACACCGGTGTGCTCATGGGATCATCGTCCCTCGATTTATTTTTTTAAAACAAACTACCGTATTTTTATTATGTCTTTCCGAGAGTTCAAATTGGTAAATAACTCATCCACACTAGATTATAAGGAGACTGATGGGTAAAGGACAACCAGAATTAAAAACCCTGGGCAATCCTTCCTATTATTGGAATTCCAGCCTCAGTGTCTATGTTAGTTTTGTGGCACCCTTGGCAGAGCTTGACTTATGAGCTCAGCATCAGATGCCAAGGAAGAATATAATGGACATTTTCCCCCCTCCCTGTATCTTTGAGAACAATGCAAAATGGCTCCCCGGGCCTTGCCACTCTCTAGAAAGCCTCAACCAACTTATTATATATATTCATTCACCCTGTCTTTTTAGGGACAGAAAGCAGCATCCTTTTCAAACCAGTCCTTTGGAGCCATTTGGAAAAGGGCTGTCCATCAGCTGAGTCAGCCCTTCCGTTTTTGGCAAAAGTGTGAAATTCTGTCAGCTCAGATCGATGGATACTCAATTGGCCTTGGAAACCCTGGTCTGAAAGCAGATCATCAGTGGGAGCCTACTTTTTAATTTCCTGCATTATTACGCCTGGTTGCCATTTACGCACGTTCTGAATAATGAGACCGGACAAGCCATGTGTTGTGAGGGGATGCCAAAGAAAAGGTATCTTAGCCTCGCAAAAAAAAATAAATGGCAATTTCTGGATCACTCGGCACTAAATAGGAAACTTTGGGTCTCCAGCTCACATCAGATCCACCCAGCGGGATGAATGGCATATAGAGTGATGGGGTGTTGTAGTCCAAAACCTGGGCAAGGACGTGGAGTTGCCTAACCCAGCATAAACACTGTACACAGCCTCAGTTACAAGAAGGAGAGCTGCCTGTATAACAGGAATCCATTAGTATTCCAAACCAGATAATATTCTAGCCCAGTTAAACGCAATTGTTAAAAGTATTAGAACTTCGCCGTTGAGATACTGGGTAGATTTGATTACAGCATCAATTTTACAGGATCAGTCGAGGGAATTCACTCATGGTTTATTCAACACATGCGCCCAATTCCCCATCTCAACAATGGAAGTAAACAAAAGTAAGTCAGACCATAATGCATAATCCAGATCAATTAAAAACCCAGGCTCAGCCCTATGTATATAGGGGTGGGGGGTGGGGGGCACAAGGAGTTGAGTTTAAAAGTAAGCACAAAGCAGATTAAGCAATGGGTTCATGAGTCATGCTAACCCCTATCAAGCTGAATTGTGGTGAACTGACTCAATTTTCCACCTTTATACCACATCACAGGACCACAAATGCTGTAGCCATATTCGGTTGTGTCTGGGTGTATGCTGTGTCAATGGAGCCAATGGGATGGTGTTTAAACAGTTAGGAAATGTAAAGGAAAACCAAAAGATAGGTTCTCATACCTCATAGACGGTTCCATCAGGCTGCTGAAGGACTCCGTGGCCTTGTCTCTGATCCAGGATCCAGTCACCTTCAAATTTATCTCCATTTCTAAAAATACAGAGCCAGGAGAATAATTTTACGTGACTTGGTACATGGACTTTAACGGCACACAAAATAAAGCCATGGTCTCTTTAGCGTCATTTACCTGCTTAACTCACGCATGAAACCCCTCTAAGGTTGGTTCACACATGGGGCTAGGGCAGACACGTGTCCCATGACGGGAAACGAGGGGAAAGAGTACGCTTTAATAAGTCAGACTAAGCCATGTTAATTGGTTATACGCCACATTCGGCTTCTCTTTTGCTCTGGCTCTTCCAGGGTTCTGTGACCAGTTATGGATTTTGATTATTGCTCCTTCTGGAAAAATCTACTAGCCTGAATGCAGCTAAAGGCCTCACAAAATCATCAGAGAAACTCACAGGAATGTCATTTTCCCTCCTCCATGTTTTTTGTTGTTATGAAAGCTTCCTTGGTAAGTCTCTCCATCCTTTCCTATCAGCGACCCGTAGCCTATGAAGAAGACTTTGCATTACAGAGATGCCAAAAGTTTTTTGTTTTTAAATCACAGATTACTGCATAAACACTATCATTTTCTTGGCTGGTTTGAAAGCTAAAACTAAAATTGTCGAGGAAAGGAGAGGAACCCCCCCCCCCCCAATGAAGAAAACCTGCCAATTATGTTATGTTTTGTTGCTGGAGGGAAGCAACTTTTCCTCTTGTGAATTACAGGTATTTGTGCAAAGGGGAAATGTTGACCCAAGAAAACATTAACTATCTGACTGAGCTGATCCCAAACACAGATGGAAAGCAGTAACTGTTCCCTTCCAGACTATACAAAGGTGGGTCCAACTATCACACATGCAGGATGACACCGTTAGGCAAAGGCCACGACTTATGTGCTTGAGTCAGATGCCACGGTAGAAGCAAGACATTGCTCTTGTGTCACTGCTGTTTGTGTCCTTCCGCTTTGTGACAGAGGTTGCTGCCTTTTGTTTAACAGTTGTGGGATCCTGGCTGTAGTCTGGGATATGGCTGGTGGAAGGGATCAGCAAATCTGGGAAGTAGGCTTGTGCAGGGAGTTGGACTAGAAGATCTCCCTCCCAACTCTGCTATTGTGTTATAAACATGTGTTTTCTTGCACCCTAGTTATAAACCAGTATATCTTGACCAGGCTGGAGTGCTAATGCAATGCTCGTAGGCCAAGCCTATTTTGAGAATTAACCTTCTAATTTCTCCACTAATTAATTAATCCACCAATAGATTTCTCTCCATCTTCCAGATCAATCAACAGGGTTTCCCGCTTCAGTGAATTTGGGTTCAGGCCCTGTCAAAGATGGTCTGTGCCAATTCTTGATGGCTTCCCTATGTGCGTAAACCTGAGTATCAGAGCTTGTTGAGCAACCATGGTTAAATAAAGCTGCACGACATATGAATCCCACCCGAGATAGGTGGATTTTGCCCAGTTTACCTTCTCGTATCCCGTAACAGAATTCTCCTTCGTATCTGCCACCATTTCCATAATGAAAAACTCCGTGCCCGTGAAGTTCTCCAAAGAGGAATTGGCCGGAGTAAGTATTCCCTTGGATCAAAAACACAATAAAGTAAAAACTCAGGGGAAGCTCTGGCAAATGCAGTTTAATCATCCTTGCTATTCCCATAAAGATTTTGACGGTGCCTTTCTCAGCAGGAGACATTCCAAGTTACCAGCTGGTTTTTTTTTTATATTATTATTATTATCAGGACAGCTTCAAGAAGAAAGGAAGCATTCATTAGGTCTTTATCTTACAGACTAATAGAATCAAGAGTCGCTGTTCCTTCAGGTCTTTCATAACTAAGGTATCTTAAAAAGACGTTAGCGCTACTGCAAAAAAAAATAATAAAGAAGGAAAAGAACAAAAGAGATTCAGAGGGTTTTTTTTTTTTTTACGGTTAAGATGAAGTACTTTTATTTCATAGACAAGTTAACAGCTTTTTGATGGCCTACGTTCATTCAAATTCCTCATTACGGAGGAGGAGGTATGCTGAATATAATTAAAAGAGAGCCTGGAGTCCTTGGGGACAAAGTAGGACTGAATCTCAAAGTAATCCTAACAAGGATGAGGTTGCTTTAGCCACTTCACGTGCAACGGTGCACAGGTTGACTTCACTTAGGATCAGAATTGGGACCAGAACAGCTAAGCAAGACATTTGTTAAATGAATCACGCCCAATTTTATGTGCTTTTCTGCTACGGTGGTTAAGCCAATCACTGCCGTTGTGAATCATGAGGTCCCCCCCTTGACTTTGCTTGTCAGAAAGTGGCTGGAAAGCTTGCAGCTGGTGATCACGTGACCCCAGGATGCTTCCCCTGTTAAATTTGCCTGCCGGTTGCCGAGCCCCTGAATTTTGATCAACTGCCAAGATGCCACAATGGTTCTAAGTGGAAGGACCGGACGTAAGTCCCTTTTTTCATTGCCTTTGAACGGTCGCTAAATGTCAAGGGCTAACCTGTATGTTTGTATTTCTAGGTAGAATGCAACAAAATTGGATCTTTAACGTGCAGGATTTTACTATGTTCAGTTTGGGTTTTGAGCAGCACGCATACCTGGGGAAGGATGGTGTGCTTCAGTACTTATTGTTAACTCACAGCAACACAGCCTCCTATAAGGCAGGCTTCCCAAGTTGTGTCAGCCTGCTGTGTCCTACCATTTCTAGCTATCAGACCTGGAGCAGCTGTGAGGTTCTTATCACACCTACTCCTATCCACTCGATGCAATAAAAGAAGCAATTTTATTTCCTATCCTCTTTCTCTCTCAAGAGGGGAATGTTGACTTACTCAGCAGAACGCCAAAATTTAGGGAAACAATAAACGCAACAGAAAAAAACTCTTAAAACGTTGAATGTGGGCTAAAAAAGTTTAACTGGCTGACCAAGAGGGCAAGAAATATAAAATCCACAAAAGGAGAGACTGGAACAAAACATACCAAGGTGTTCCTGAATGGAACACTAACAGAAACAGTCCATGTGCCATTTTTGTTTGTTTGTTTGTTTGTTTGTTTGTTTGTTTTAACAGGCACCGATCACAAATCTAACCTGTTGATGCCCAGTATCTGAGTCCATGGCCAACAATTTCTCCATTGGCAAATTCACCTTCGTAATAACTTCCATCTTTGAACAGTAATTTCCCACGTCCTGGAAAACAAAGACCAGTTGAACACATTCTGGGTAAAGAAGAGCATTTGATTGGTTTGAAATCTTAAATTTATTGGGCTCTCTTTGCAAAGGAGAATCTTCAGAAATGCTCTATTTCATAGGGGATGAAGTCACTAATAAAGCTGAGAGTTAACAAAGATAGAAAGTTGGAAGTGTTAGTACCCTTTTATATGGCACTAGCGAGACCACACTTGGAATACTGTGTCCAAAATTTAGTCACCATGATACAAAAAAAGATGTTGAGACTCTAGAAAGAGTGCAGAGAAGAGCAACAAAGACATACAAGGAATGGTTGAGGGAACTAGGTATATTTACTCTAGAGAGAAGGATTAGGAATGACATGATAGCAGTTTTCCAGTATTTGAGGGAGAGGAGTGAGTTGACCTATTTTCCAAAGCATCCGAAAGCAGGACAAGAAGTAACTGGATGGAAGCTTATCAAAGAGAGATCCAACCTAGAATTAAGGAGGAATTGCCTCCAGAGGTTATGGGTGGTCCATTGCTGAAAGTTTTTAAGAGATTGGACAGTTATTTGTCCAGAATACTCTAGGGTCTCCTACTTAAGCAGGGGGTTTGATTAGATCTCCATAGTGCCTTCCAACTCTGTTATTCTGATTTTCTAATTCATAGAAAATGATCACCTTTTGTTTTACACCACTGAAGTCAGTAGTTCAATTTACACAGAACCCTTTATACTGTATGGTACCTGCTTTCCAAATTTCTAGTGAGGGGGTCAAATTAGCCTATTGGGGAGGAAAAAAGTTTTGCAGCCTTTTAAAGACTACCTTATTTTAGTCCAATAGATTATGAAATACTGTAGGTGTGAAAAGCTATCACACTGATGCCATCTAATGGTCAAGAGTATAAATATATTCCATCAAATACATCTCGTTTTGGAAATATCGAAGGATAAGACCAGATCGTTCTTTGCTTCCTTTTGAGGATAAAACAGACATTGGAAATCTTGGATCAACTGCAAAAAGATGAGAAAGATTTATACCAGGGGTAGTCAACCTTGGCTCTTTTATGACTCGTGGTCTTCAATTCCCAGAATTCCTGAGCCAGCTTAGAAGGCAGGGAGGAATTCTGGGAGTTGAAGTCCACGAGTCATAAAAGAGCCAAGGTTGACTACCCCTGATTTATACAGAGAAACCAGAATATGTTTTTAGTTTTCTTTTCAGTGTTTTTCTTAGCTTCCTGGTCATTTTCCATAGTTTTATTAAATAATTAAATTTGTGTTTAATAATAATAAACAATAATAAAAATGCAGATGCATCCAATTAATACTCAAAAGACCTGCCTGGTCGTCTATCAACCTGTTTAGCCATTCAGCGTAATGGCTGACCTTAGGTAAGATGCTATTTATATATATTATATATTCTATTTATATATATTATATATTCAAGATGGACAGTATTTAATATTTATTTGTTATGTATATGTAGGGGTGTGGGTCTATACATATGTTGTACATAGTATGTTTAGGTGTGTGTCATGTGCTTCACTTTGAGAGCGGGCAACTACATTTCATTTTTGATGTGTGCCGTTGTGTCCACAATAAAAAAATGACAATAAAGATTATCTTATCTTATTTTATTTCTTGGCCTACCGACTCATTTCACCTGGTTTGTATTGTGGGGAAAATAGGAGGAATAAGGAGTATTAGGTGTGTTTGCTCCCTTGGGCTATTTATAAAAATAATAAAGGTGGGATAAAAATAAAGTTATTTCTTTTAAAAAGGTGGTCACAAAACGCTGAGGTACCTGCTGAATAAAAACACAAACCTTCTGGTTCCTTACCGTGTTTTTTTCCTCTCTTCCACTGCCCTTCGTACTTGAAAAAGGAGTTGGGATAAACATAACGTCCATAACCTAAAAGGCAAGAGAGAAGTCAAAAAAATATCAAAAATATGTATTGGCAGGCTTTCTCTAACCTCACTTACCTCAGGAAAATTATTAAATACATTTAAAAAACGGGGGGGGAGGGAATATTTATGGGCAGGCTTCTCTAACCTCACACAGCTCGAGCAAATTATTAAATAAATTAAAAAAAAACTGAGAATTGTAATTGGCGAGGCCTGCCAACCACGGCCCGTCTTTGCAGCCTTCGGACGTGCAGTTCTGGTAGACTGCTCCTGCCCCGGGAGGCTCCGCTTGGAGCCGGCCGAGCCCTTCGCGGGGGGAGACGCCCTTCCAGGGCCTCCTTTCTCGTCGTCTCCTCCTCCTCCAGAGGCAGAAACCCTCCACGAAGCCGGGACGGCCCCCTCACCGTTCCTCCGGTGGTCCTTCATTTCCCCACAGTAAGAAGCGGCGCCCTCGGCCGCCATTTTCCCGCTTTCCCCTCAGGGGACGCTGTGTTTTGCCGCCATCGGATCTCGACGCGGATTGGCTGTCGCGTTGCTAGGAGGCGAGGCTTGTTTTTTTTTTCTTCCCTTGGAGGGGAGGGGTAAAGCGGTCCGGCTTTTGCGTGGTGCGCATGCGCGGACGGGCTGCTGGTCCAGGATGTAGAAAGGAAGCGTGCGGTTTTAACGCCTTGCTTAGTTTGGAGCCGGGGAGGGACTGCAGATCCCATGATCCTCAGCCCGCGTGGTCCGGGGAGTAGAGGAGGTTGGAATCCAACCGCGTCGGGTTGAAGGAGAACCCGGGAAAAACGCAGGATGGATTTCTACCCAAAGGCTGTATGAGCTGAGCCAACCATAGGGGCTGGGGATGATGGGGTCTGCAGTCCCTCCCCACCCGGGCTGGGCCGTGGCACTTGAAAGCAAGCTGGATGCCCGAGTACTTAAACCGTACGTCTGTATAAGTGGCTCTAAACGTTTCCTTAATGTATACAGTAATATATATATATATACATATATATATGTGTGTGTGTGTGTGTGCTGCAGTACCAAAATCAGCCACGAGGTGACACCCCTTTCCCATTCATTTTTGAGTCTGCAGTTCCCAAATTCCCCACCGGAGGGCAGCTTTTTGAATGTGTCTTGCGTCTCATACATAAGCTGTTACCAAAATCAGCCACTTGAGGGCAGTCTTTTCTCACATACGACCTGCCTTGGCTCTTTTATAACTCGTGGACTTCAACTCCCAGAATTCCTGAGCCAGCATGGCTGGCTCAGGAATTCTGGGAGTTGAAGTCCACGAGTCATAAAAGAGCCAAGGTTGCCTAAGGGCTAGGTGCCCAGGGAAAGTGACTTTAACCTGCAGGATGAGTCACGGATGCTGGTCTGTTCTTAGTCTAATGTCAGTTGAAAGAGAGCCAGGTTTTTGCGTGCCGATGATGAATTAAAAGGCAGAAGAGTTGATTGATCTGTTCCAAAATCCCAAAATGCCCCTTCCGGATCAACGGACTCGGATCCATTAATAGCTTTCTCGCTGGACCGTCATAAACCAGGACGTTCTGTTAGGGGCGTCACAACAGAGGAGCTTTCGCGGTCCAAAGTCCTCCCTCCCCCACTCTCCCACCCCAAAGAAACTCAAAGGGTTTGTAATGTGGTATTAAAAAAGCAAAAAAAGACCATTTTGTCACAATATTCTTTTTATTTAGTCATTGTGTAACTCCTAGAAGCCCCCACTGATCCTGTGCTGTGCTTGCAGTCTGTCTGTTGCTGTCCCACCTTGCAGGGAGGGCTTTGATTTCCATCCAGGAGAGGCGTTGCTTTCGCCGTTGCTCGGAGATGGTGTGTGTGTGGATGTGGATCCTTCCTTGAACCGGTGAAGGGGGTTTTTTTGGGGAAAAAAAAGACCCTCTTCCTTTTGCAATGGGTGTGTGTGTACGATTTCCGCTAATTATCATTAAATCTAGGTCAAGGAAAAAAGCCGGCAGGATCCCCGCTCACAAATTTAGCACGTTTTTAACCTTCTCTCTGACTCCGCCCCTCTGGAGGAATTTCAAGGAACTGTCTGGAAAGTCACCGCCCCCGTCTCGGGCACGCTGCCTGACAATCTGTCAATGAGGACTAGAAACCTGTCCTTGCCGATCACGAAGCTCGGTGTGCAGCCCAATTCGTACGTTCTGGGACCCTCCCTGCCTTCTCTTTAGGTAGGACAGCGAGCTGTGCCCCCCCCGGACAAAAAAATCAGTCGGGCCACAACGCTACCGAGGTGAATGTTAGAAAAGTTAAGACGCCGAAACCGGGGTTAGCTGACGACGCCGTTGTCTAATGGGAGGAAGGATTTGCCTTGGCATCGAGAAGCTACGCTAGTTTTCTTTATTTCTTTTTTCTTCTTTTTGCCCAGATGTGTGCCCTACTTTTGCCAAAAACTCCGCTAAGGGTTATAAAAATCATTACTGGGGAGGGGGGAAAAATAGCCTAAATGTGCTTTTACAGAACGCGTAGGAAGGAAAAAAGGAAAGAGATGGAAAAAAAGAAAAGAGTCCCTTGAAAATTTGCCCATTGGTTCCTCCTGCTTCTCCTTCACGCCTTTGATTTCTCTGCGTTCCCCTGCCGCGGGATTTCTGGCCTCTGGAACCGCTGGCTCAGCTCCTGGGTGAACACGGAGCAGCAGGACTTCTGAGGTTGGACGAAAGAGGGGGGGGGAGAGGGGGGAAAATGAGGTGAAAAGATCTTTTTTTCAGTGCCCCCCCTTGCCCCCTTTTAAAATCCAGCCTCTGAGAATGTCAGGAACAGGATCAGAAAGAAAAAAATGACTTGCGACTCTTTATCACACTGAACGGCCCCGTGGGTCACCGGATCCAAATTCAGAGGCTCGGCAACTGGCAGGCCCTTATGACAGTTGCAGCGTCTAGACGTCAGGCGATTCCCCCCTTTTGGCGACCTTCCGACAAGCGGAGTCGAGGGGGGGGGGAAGTCAGGCTCGCTTAACGCTTTAACAAACAGCGGCCAGAAAAAAAAAAAAAGGCCGTCAAAGGGAGCAAGAGCCACTTCGCCGTCTCGCTTAGCGACGGAAAGGCCGGGCTCGGTCGCGTTCGTAAGTTGAGGACTGGCCCGCGCGCTATTACAGGGCAGGGCTAGGCTCACCTTCTCCCGTTCGGCTGTGCGGCGGCTTCGTTTGGACAGCTCGAGCACGGCCGCCAGCATTCCCGCGAGGAGGCCGAGGGCCAGCAGGAGGAAAATGCCCCCCAGGGTCTGGGGCTTCAGAGGGCTCCACTTGTCGTGGTCCTCGTGGGAACAGCTGCTCTCCCACCACTTGCTGCGCAGGTAGTCCAGGTCTCCGGACTCGCCGAGTTTCAGGATGGCCACCGAGAGTTTGCTGGTCCAGGGGGATCCTAAGAGATTTAATTGGGGCGGGGGGGGGGGCTTCTTTTCAGCTGTAACTTTCAGAAGATCTTCTGGAGACGATGGTGGGTCTGCTGGGCTGTGCAGGCATTCACACAACGGGTCCACTGCGGTGTTTCTCGACCTTGGGAGCTTTAAGAGGGGCGGGCTTCCACTCCCAGAATCCCCCAGCCGGCATGCTTTAAGAGGGGCGGGCTTCAACTCCGAGAATTCCCCAGCCAGCAGGTTTTAAAACATGTGGACTTCAACTCCCAGAATTCCCCAGCTGGCATGCTTTAAGAGGGGTGGGCTTCAACTCCCAGAATCCCCCAGCCAGCAGGTTTTAAGACATGAGGGTTTCAACTCCCAGAATCCCCCAGCCGGCATGCTTTAAGAGGGGTGGGCTTCAACTCCCAGAATCCCCCAGCCAGTTTTAAGACATGTGGGCTTCAACTCCCAGAATTCCCCAGTCAGCATGCTTTAAGAGGGGTGGGCTTCAACTCCCAGAATCCCCCAGCCACACATTCTGGGTGTTGAAGCCCCCCTCCCCATCTTAAAAGTTTCCCAGCTTGAGAAAGGCTGATCTAGGACGATACATTTTAAACTCTATTGCTCAATCAGGGGGTGTCACACGTGTGTGTGTGTGTGTGTGTGTGAGTGACTCCCCAGCCTTCGCTGTCTTACCTTTTGGGGTGGCGATGCCGAAACCTCGGGCTCCCAGCACCTCTGGGGACCGGACTAAGTTGCAGTGCTGGGCCACGGCCAGATCTTGCGAAATGGACTCCCCGATGAAGGCGTAATTGGAATCCAGCACCCGCTGAATGGCTTCCTGGTAGCTCTTGGTCAGCACGGATTCCTTCTTGACCATGGACTCGTAGACCAGCTGCTGGATGGGACTCTTGGAATTCTGGGGGCGCAAGGCAGAGGGCTGACCCTTCGTCCCCCGGCGGGGATGGGGGTCCCTTTTGGGGGTGCAAACGCAGCCCACTTGGCGCAAACAAAATGCCGCCTTCGTTCGGCTGCCGAATCTGATTTGCAAACTAGAATTCCCAGCGGGCGCGTTGTTGATGGATTCCGAGGCTCGATCCGGTTTTTGGTCCAATTCAGTTTGGACCTTGGATCCAGCTCCCTTTGAATCAGACATTAATCCTTTGGTTTTCCTAAAGGTTTTGCCAATGCAGGGATGGGAAAAACCCTGAGCTCCGTGGGGCAGGATTCGATTACAGCCCCACGTCTAATCAAGAGATGCCAAAGGTTTCGGTGACGGGTGACAAACTCCCTCGTTCAAACAAGCCTCAGGGCATTTAACCTTGTTGGCGCTTCGGACCATAGGGCTGGAAGGGACCTTAAGAGGCCTTCTAGTCCAGCCCCCTGCCTATGTTTATGGCGGTGTTTAGAACACAGCACTGCAGGTAAACTCTGCTCATAGCCAGCAGTTCGATCCTGACCGGCTCACGGCTTGACTCAGCCTTCCGTCCTTCCGACGTCCGTAAAATGAGGACCCAGATTGTTGGGGGGCAAATAGGCTGACTTTGTAAACCGCTTAGAGAGGCTGTGAAGCCCTGCGAAGCGGGATATAAGTCTGAAGCGCTATTGTCGAACGCCGGTTTTTCCACACCAAACCAGGAGGGGCTAATGTGCCCTGCAGCTCAGCTCCCAGAATTCCTTGCAAGGATTTATGCCGGCTGGGGAATTGTGGGGGTGCTCAGGGCAGGGAAAGCCGCCGTGACCCGGAGACAAATTCCCAGGTGCTGAAAAGCCGAAGGGCAGCGTCCCCTTCCCGGTGAATCTCTGATCTGTGGATCTGTGTGAACCCAAAAGAGGAGACCCCCGCCCCCAAGTCACTCCCGGGCAGGTGTGGATCCAACTGGCCCACCTTGAAATACTGGAGCGTGGAGGATCCTTCCATGGTCCCGAATTCCAGCTGCCTTTGCTTCACCAGGTCCTCAAAGTTCTGGATGAAGAGGTGGTCACTTTCCGACTCCAGGACGAAGCTGAAGCCGGCGATGTAGGCCGCCAGCACCACGATGCCGAACAGCCACCAGACGGCGGAGATGACCCTGACGGAAAGCGATCTGGGCTGAGGGACGGTGCCTGCGCCGGAGAAGGAAGGAAGGAAGGAAGGAAGGAAGGAAGGAAGGAAGGAAGGAAGGAAGGAAGGAAGGAAAGGGAGAATTCGCAGCTATATATAAAGAGCTCGGCTGTTTCCTTGCAGACGTTTCATTACCAAACTAGGTGACCTCCTCAGTGCCAGGGATGATTTCCTAGTGGTCCCCTGTCCAGGTCCGAAGCAGATCCAACTCTGTTTCGGACATGGACAGGAGACCACTAGGAAATCATCACCTAGCACTGAGGATGTCCCCTGCTTAGTTTTTGGAGATCAGCCAAGGCTGGCTAGCAGCTGCCCTCTGTTGGGCCCAAAGGGGCGCTCCTTCAGATATTGGCAATTCGCCATCTCCCATTTGGGGGCCTACCTTGCAGGGTGAGCGCCCCAGCGCTGAACCAGAGGCTGTTCAAGCAGGTGAAGCCGTTCTCCTGGTTTCCGTCCCATTCAGAAGGGCTCATTCTACGGAGAAGCACAGCAAAGACCCTCAGGGGGATATGGGTTTGGAGTTCCCCAAGCTGAGCCCTTTGTACATGCTCAGGAAAACAGTTTAAACTGAGGCACAGACAACCCAAGGCAGGGTGGATCTCCACGCCGCGGCCTTGGCAGGCTTAGGCAAGTGTTTTTCCTTTATTATTACTCCGTTGATATTCTACAAAAAAACCCACAGCCCTGGGGATTTCCCGTGGTGGTGGTGTATCATCCTGCTACTCTCTTCTTTCTGTTTCTGAGAAGTGGGTTGGACTAGATGACCTCTAAGGTCCCTTCCAGCCCTATGATTCTATGATTTCCCGCTGTGGGGGCTCAGAAAATAAACGGCTTGCAGTCTCCCCATTTCTAACGTAAAGAGCCTTTTCATTCTGGCTAACACTTAAATTACTAATTGTTTTCTCTCTCTCTCTCTCTCTCTCTCTCTCCTTCTCTCTCTCCCTCCTTCTCTCTCTCTCTCTCTCTCTCTCTCTCTGTGCTTCCTTTCCCATTGATGGATTTACAGCCCGCCGTTCGAGGACAGCAAGTCCACCTTGCCCCCCACATGGGTGCTTTTTCTGACCTGAATGCCCAAATCTCATGGTCAAACCCCTTTCTTGGCACTAGAAGCGAGGGGAGAGACCCGGACCCTAAACCTGGACGCTAAAGAGCCCGTAGGACATTTTACGACCAGTTGATGTCTCCACCAGGTGACAGGACCTCCGTGGTGCCACTAAATTGCTCCTGAGACTTCTGTAATATTCTGCTGTCATCCTCCCGTGAAATTCGTCCTCGCATCTCTGGGTCCTGCCTGCCCTCCAAAGGAGGCAAAAGCATTTGCTGGCCAGCTCTTGGGGGGTGGGGGTGGGGGCTTCAAAATGGCCTTTTTCCAACCAAGAGGAAGGCAAGTGTGGGGGGGTGGGGTTACTCACCTTCCAGCCAGGAAGAGGCAGAGACTGGAGAGCAAGTAAGCCACGAGGATGCCGGCCCAGGTCTCCTTGGTGAAAGGGGTCAGGAAGTGGAAGAGCGAGGCCCCTTCCAAGGCGGCTTCTCTCTCCAGCAGGATGCCGATGCCCGTGTTCAGGAACGGCTGGGTGAAGTCCACCACGTCCTCGCGGACCGACGTGATGGTCAAGGGAGCCACGGCGAGGTCAGCCTCCTGGGAGGGCGAAAAGGCCAAAAGGAGAATCAACGACTAGGATGGTTAAAGGCCCGGAGACGAAAACACACGAAGGACGGTTGCAGGAACCGGGGATGGCTAATTTAGAGGAAAGAAGGACCGGGGGGGGGGGGAGACATGATGGCGGTCTTCCGGGATTTGAGGGGCTGCCACAAAGAACAGGAGGTCAACCTGTTCTCCAAAGCAACAGAAGGTAAAAGAGAAGAATCAACAGATGGAAACTAATCAAGGAGAGAAGCAACCTGGAACTAAGGAGAAATTTCCTGACTGTGAGAACGATTAGCCCGTGGAACAGCTTGCCACCAGAAGTCGTGGGTGCGCCATCACTGGAGGTTTTTAAGAAGAGACTGGACAGCCATTTGTCCGAAATGGTATAGGGTCTCCTGCTTGAGCAGGGGGCTGGGCTAGAAGACCTCCAAGGTCCCTTCCAGATTCTATTCTATTCTATTCTATTCTATTCTATTCTATTCTATTCTATTCTATTCTATTCTATTCTATTCTATTCTTTCTATTATTATTCTATTCTATTCTATTCTATTCTATTCTATTCTATTCTAATTATTCTATTATTATTCTATTCTATTCTAATTATTCTATTATTCTATTCTATTCTATTCTATTCTATTCTTTCTATTATTATTCTATTCTATTCTAATTATTCTATTCTATTCTATTCTATTCTATTCTATTCTATTCTATTCTATTCTATTCTATTCTATTCAGAAATAAGTCCATCTGTATACTGTACTAGATGACACACCTTTATTTTGTTTTGTGGTCTTTGCCATACGGAAAAGGAACTCGCTGATATCCAGGGAGAAAATAAGTCACACTTTACTTTAATCTTAAAAGAGGTCACCTTACACAATCATATAGACACGACAGCAGCGTTCCAGTATTTGAGGGGCTGCCGCGAAGAGTACCGGGGGGGGGGGGAGGGTGTCCCTCTCCTTGTTTGAAGAGCACCTCTTCCAGAAAAAAAAAAAAACATCTCACCTTCCTCACAATCTCTCCAATCATCCCAGACCAGCTCCCGTTGGAGCTGAGGCGCCCGTATTTCCCATCCTTCACGATCCCAACTTTGTACTTGAAGTGAAGCATTTCCGACAGCTTCTGCAACAGGTCGATGCAGTAGCCTTCTAACTCGGCGCCCCGGACCATCGCGTAGGGGTTCTCCTGGAGATCAGAGCGAGGCAAGGGTTTCTTTCTGACCAGCTCCTCCATTGCACGGGCGGGGAAAAGGGACACCCCATCCCCGTCCCCACTTTCTGAACCCTTCTGAACCTCCCTTCCATGTCAGGCCTGGCGCACTGTCCCGGCTGCGAAAAGCTTTGGGTCTCCCCTGAAAGACAGGGGGAGCATCCCTGTGGTCAAAATTTGGACGCTTGGCATCATATTTACGACAGTGGCGGTGCGATTCCCTTTTGCAACCTTCTGATTAACCAAGTCAACGGGGGCGGGGATGCCGGTTTCACTTAACGACGGTGGGGGACTAGCTTAATAACTTCTGTGATCCGTGGGAGCCAGGAAGGTTGTCAAAGGGTTGTCACGAATGTCTTGCTTAGCAACGGAAATGGTGGTCGTTAAGTCGAGGGATGTGTGTATTATGAACAGCGTTAAGCCCAGCTCCAAGGATTCGGGGGCCGTTTGCTCCTTACCAGAATAGTCGTGACGTAGATCGTCGGTGCATCTTTTCCCCCGGCCCCGAGAGCGACGCTGTCCTGGGGATGAGAACATTTAGGAAAATCAGCTGCGTAGAAGGAAATGAAAGACAGACACACACACAGTGCGGTACGACAACTGGCATTAGCCACGTTGGCTGACCTACAAACTGTTCTGTTTTCAGGGGGTGTTTCTCCTACAGAACTCTTGTGCGAACGGCAGAGGTTTCCGGGGAATTTATTTCCAGCTGCGCGCTTCAGGAAAACACCTGCCCTCCACCCTGGGGCACTCCAACAACGCCGGGAAAATGTCACTTCACCCCTCGATCCCAAGGCCTCTTCTCACAATCCAGAAATTTCTCTGACTGAGCAAAACGTTAGCAGAATAACAGAAAAACAGGACGACGGAGTTGGAAGGGACCTCGGAGGTCTTCTAGTCCAACCCCCTGCTCAAGCAGGAGACCCTACACCAAGGGAAGTCAACCTTGGCTCTTTTATGAGTCGTAAAAGAGCCAAGGTTGCCTACCCCTGCCCTAGACCCTTTCAGACAAACGGTTTCCCAATCAACTGCCTAATAACCAGAGGTTAGCACATCTCCGGGTTAACGCGGCAGGGTCCTACTAAGAGTTTAGAGTCCTGTCAATTCAATATTTTGACATTTCCATTCTTGTTGTTTCTAGACCGGCACCAGCTGGGAAAAGCTGAAATATTTTATTCATCTGATTGATTTCTTCCGTTTCTATAGCGGCCCAACTCAGCCAAGTGACTCCGTGCGTTCTTATGAGAGTTTGATAAAACTGTTCGTTCTTCTCCCTCCTCCTAGTTAATGTGTGTTTTCAGGGGTGTGCGTGCCTGCGTGTTTGTGTTTGTGTGTGTGTGTGTGTGTGTACACCAGTCGTAGAAGCAGGAGTCTTTTCTTCCTGGCACTCTCATCCCTCAGACAATAAAGAAGTGCCCATTAAAAGGAACTTCTGCCTGGGCCGGTAGGTTGACGAAAAATAATGGATACTGACCTTTTGGAGGGAGTTGCCATCCTCAGCGGCGCCTGAAAAATACAGGAAGGATGGAAATCATTTTACAAATAGCGACAGTTTTGTATTTTTCTCTTTAGCCACTCTGAAACTACGAAACAGACAAGTTTTCTTCCATAAAATTGCCTTAGAGACAGATGGGTTGCCTCTATAGCTGTCTGCTCATCCCGCACCGAATAGTCTCAGGCAGAGAAAGAATTTCCTCCTTGAGAGAAAAGAGATTTTTTAAAAAAAGCTAGAAATACAGGTAGTTCTTGACTTACAACCACAATCAAGCCCCAAGTTTCCGTTGCTAAGCGAGGCGTTTGTTAAGCGACAAGAAGCAACGGGTGGAAACTGACCAAGGAGAGAAGCAACCTGGGATTAAGGAGAAATTTCCTGACAGTCAGGACAATTAACCAGTGGAACCACCTGCCTCCAGAAGCGGTGAATGCTCCAACACTGGAAGTTTTTAGGAAGAGACTGGACGGCCCTTTGTGTGAAATGGTATATAGGGCTTCCTGCCTGAGTGGGGGATTGGGCTAGATGACCTCCAAGGCCCCTTCCAACTACTACTACTACTACTACTACTACTACTACTTCTTCTTCTTCTTCTTCTTCTTCTTCTTCTTCTTCTTCTTCTTCTTCTTCTTCTTCTTCTTCTTCTTCTTCTTCTTCTTCTTCTTCTTCTTCTTCTTCTTCTTCTTCTTCTTCTNCCTGACTGTGAGAACGATTAGCCCGTGGAACAGCTTGCCACCAGAAGTCGTGGGTGCGCCATCACTGGAGGTTTTTAAGAAGAGACTGGACAGCCATTTGTCCGAAATGGTATAGGGTCTCCTGCTTGAGCAGGGGGCTGGGCTAGAAGACCTCCAAGGTCCCTTCCAGATTCTATTCTATTCTATTCTATTCTATTCTTTCTATTATTATTCTATTCTATTCTATTCTATTCTATTCTATTCTAATTATTCTATTATTATTCTATTCTATTCTAATTATTCTATTATTCTATTCTATTCTATTCTATTCTATTCTATTCTTTCTATTATTATTCTATTCTATTCTAATTATTCTATTCTATTCTATTCTATTCTATTCTATTCTATTTCTATTTCTATTTCTATTCTATTCAGAAATAAGTCCATCTGTATACTGTACTGGATGACACACCTTTATTTTGTTTTGTGGTCTTTGCCATACGGAAAAGGAACTCGCTGATATCCAGGGAGAAAATAAGTCACACTTTACTTTAATCTTAAAAGAGGTCACCCTACACAATCATATAGACACGACAGCAGCGTTCCAGTATTTGAGGGGCTGCCGCAAAGAGTACCGGGGGGGGGGAGGGTGTCCCTCTCCTTGTTTGAAGAGCACCTCTTCCAGAAAAAAAAAACCCCCAAACATCTCACCTTCCTCACGATCTCTCCGATCATCCCAGACCAGCTCCCGTTGGAACTGAGGCGCCCGTATTTCCCGTCCTTCACGATCCCAACTTTGTACTTGAAGTGAAGCATTTCCGACAGCTTCTGCAACAGGTCGATGCAGTAGCCTTCTAACTCGGCGCCCCGGACCATCGCGTAGGGGTTCTCCTGGAGATCAGAGCGAGGCAAGGGTTTCTTTCTGACCAGCTCCTCCATTGCACGGGCGGGGAAAAGGGACACCCCATCCCCGTCCCCACTTTCTGAACCTTTCTGAACCTCCCTTCCATGTCAGGCCTGGCGCACTGTCCCGGCTGCAAAAAGCTTTGGCTCTCCCCTAAAAGACAGGGGGAGCATCCCTGTGGTCAAAATTTGGACGCTTGGCATCATATTTACGACGGTGGCCGTGCGATTCCCTTTTGCAACCTTCTGATTAACCAAGTCAACGGGGGCGGGGATGCCGGTTTCACTTAACGACGGTGGGGGACTAGCTTAATAACTTCTGTGATCCGTGGGGGCCAGGAAGGTTGTCAAAGGGTTGTCACGAATGTCTTGCTTAGCAACGGAAATGGTGGTCGTTAAGTCGAGGGATGTGTGTATTATGAACAGCGTTAAGCCCAGCTCCAAGGATTCGGGGGCCGTTTGCTCCTTACCAGAATAGTCGTGACGTAGATCGTCGGTGCATCTTTTCCCCCGGCCCCGAGAGCGACGCTGTCCTGGGGATGAGAACATTTAGGAAAATCAGCTGCGTAGAAGGAAATGTAAGACAGACACACACACAGTGCGGTACGACAAGAGTTGCAACTGGCATTAGCCACGTTGGCTGACCTACAAACTGTTCTGTTTTCAAGGAGGTGTTTCTCCTACAGAACTCTTGTGCGAACGGCAGAGGTTTCCGGGGAATTTATTTCCAGCTGCGCGCTTCAGGAAAACACCTGCCCTCCACCCTGGGGCACTCCAACAACGCCGGGAAAATGTCACTTCACCCCTCGATCCCAAGGCCTCTTCTCACAATCCAGAAATTTCTCTGACTGAGCAAAACGTTAGCAGAATAACAGAAAAAACAGGACGACGGAGTTGGAAGGGACCTCGGAGGTCTTCTAGTCCAACCCCCTGCTCAAGCAGGAGACCCTACACCAGGGGAAGTCAACCTTGGCTCTTTTATGAGTCGTAAAAGAGCCAAGGTTGCCTACCCCTGCCCTAGACCCTTTCAGACAAACGGTTTCCCAATCAACTGCCTAATAACCAGAGGTTAGCACATCTCCGGGTTAACGCGGCAGGGTCCTACTAAGAGTTTAGAGTCCTGTCAATTCAATATTTTGACATTTCCATTCTTGTTGTTTCTAGACCGGCAACAGCTGGGAAAAGCTGAAATATTTTATTCATCTGATTGATTTCTTCCGTTTCTATAGCGGCCCAACTCAGCCAAGTGACTCCGTGCGTTCTTATGAGAGTTTGATAAAACTGTTCGTTCTTCTCCCTCCTCCAAGTTAATGTGTGTTTTCAGGGGTGTGCGTGCCTGCGTGTTTGTGTTTGTGTGTGTGTGTACACCAGTCGTAGAAGCAGGAGTCTTTTCTTCCTGGCACTCTCATCCCTCAGACAATAAAGAAGTGCCCATTAAAAGGAACTTCTGCCTGGGCCGGTAGGTTGACGAAAAATAATGGATACTGACCTTTTGGAGGGAGTTGCCATCCTCAGCGGCGCCTGAAAAATACGGGAAGGATGGAAATCATTTTACAAATAGCGACAGTTTTATACTTTTCTCTTTAGCCACTCTGAAACTACGAAACAGACAAGTTTTCTTCCATAAAATTGCCTTAGAGACAGATGGGTTGCCTCTATAGCTGTCTGCTCATCCCGCACCGAATTGTCTCAGGCAGAGAAAGAATTTCCTCCTTGAGAGAAAAGAGATTTTTTTTAAAAAGCTAGAAATACAGGTAGTTCTTGACTTACAACCACAATCAAGCCCCAAGTTTCCGTTGCTAAGCGAGGCGTTTGTTAAGCGACAAGAAGCAACGGGTGGAAACTGACCAAGGAGAGAAGCAACCTGGGATTAAGGAGAAATTTCCTGACAGTCAGGACAATTAACCAGGGGAACCACCTGCCTCCAGAAGCGGTGAATGCTCCAACACTGGAAGTTTTTAAGAAGAGACTGGACGGCCCTTTGTCTGAAATGGTATATAGGGCTTCCTGCCTGAGTGGGGGGTTGGGCTAGATGACCTTCAAGGCCCCTTCCAACTTCTTCTTCTTCTTCTTCTTCTTCTTCTTCTTCTTCTTCTTCTTCTTCTTCTTCTTCTTCTTCTTCTTCTTCTTCTTCTTCTTCTTCTTCTTCTTCTTCTTCTTCTTCTTCTTCTTCTTCTTCTTCTTCTTCTTCTTCTTCTTCTTCTTCTTCTTCTTCTTCTTCTTCTTCTTCTTCTTCTTCTTCTTCNGGAAGGAAGGAAGGAAGGAAGGAAGGAGATGGGAAAGAGAAGGGAGGGAGAGAGAGAGGGAGGGAGGGAGGGAGGGAGGGAAGGAAGGAAGGAAGGAAGGAGACTATGACAGAGGTCTGTCATCTAAGTGAGAAGGGGAAAAACATGGCTGAAATCCAAAACAGGAACAAGGTATGTGGCAACGGTTCAGGCAGACACCTTCCTGATTCACAAAAGTTCTCGGCAAACTCCGATCAAACAGGAAAGCTGCTGTTTTCCCATTTTTGGACTAAAGGGCATAGAACAAAAGTTTCCCTGGAGATAAAATTTTAAGGCTCTTGTTGAAGACACTTTGAGAGGCGGAGAAGAAAGGCCTCTGGAGATCAAGGAGAATTTAAGCGAAACGCAAGCTTTAGCTGACATCAAACCTGATTTTGGGCTGATTCATACCTGGCCCAGTTTGCTCACATTCAAACTGCTTCAGCAAGTAAGATTTTTTTTTTTTTTGCTCAACCAACCCAAAAAGCTCGACGAGACAAATTCTCTACCAGCGAAATGCAACCTGCCCAGTACATCTAAGTTTAAATGATTAAAATAAACCTAAACCCAAGCTCAGCCATTAGTGAGATCAAAGTTCAAAAATAAAAAAATAAATATTCAAAAATTAAATATGATCTCTTTTGCAGATTTTTCTCCAAATCTGAGCTCCTTAAAAGAGCTCCTCAAATTTTTTTGCAGAAATGGGGAAAAGATTGAAGCTTTGATTTCACCCAGCCTAGATTTGGAGAACTCAGATTGGGAGTTACAAGCAGACCGTTGAGGTTTTGACACCTTATGCAGTTAGAAGTGGATCTGAAAGAAGGCAAATGTCTGCTTTAATTCATAATGCCTGCTTTAATTGATTTCATCAAGGGAAAGAATTCTTTCCAAAAAATAAAATAAAACAAACGCCGTCCATGTGACTAGTTGCCTCGTTGTCACACTGCATCTTTTTCAAAGGATACCTTTGTTATCTGTTAATGGGGTGTTTGTTCGTTTATTAAAGATGTTTTAAGATTTATTTAAAATTGATTAAGATGTAAAAAGCGTTCCTTCTTTCTACGTAACTCCGGGCGGATCTCAGGACCGCAATCAGAGTCCTGAACACATACATGCCTAGAATACTTCTAAAATATTGAGAACAATTCACTGAGGGGGACGTGGACTCTAGCTTTGTGTGAAGGGTGTCTTTTTTCTCTCTCTCTTTCTCTCACCTGTCCACTTAAGTTCTCCAAGCAAAAGGAACGTAGTGCAAAAGATAAAGCTGACAGCTCTGCCCATCGCGGTGCAGAATTTTCTACCGGGGTGTCCTCTGTTAGGAAAAAATAATAAAAAACAAATCACATGGTTAATTAGAGTATACTTATTTGTTCATTTCAGCCCCCCAATGCAAAAGTTACATGATGGAAACCAAGCCTGTCCTTAGAAAGCTAGGACTAAGGTGGGGGGGGGGGCTCTCTCCCTGAACTATTAGATTTCTGCATGAAGGGGAATTTGAAGCAAATGTTTGGAACAAATTGCCAGGTAGCAAAATCTAGCCTCAAGCGATGGGGTGCCTGAGCTGGACTGTATACAAGGATTATTCTTAAAATTATGCATCCAATTGTGGATGGAGAATTGACTGACTACAAGTATGAGGACAACGATGCTTAATTCGGTGAGGTATGGCTTTTGGGAGGAAGCGAAGTCTCAAGTTTAAGAGTCGGAGGGATTTTTAATTTATGCAGAAATCTGTACATCCGTAGGGACATCCGAACTGCTGACGGGAGAAGGAAGTGCAGAGGATAAATTCTGCAATAATTGGGATTTAAGTAGGGACTCTCCTCCAGCCTGTTATAAATTTTGGAAACCTATTCATTTGCCTGACTGCGCCTCGGGGCCACTAGCTATGCACAAAGCAGGACAATGTAAGTTAAAACTTTGAAAAATGAAAACCGAACAGTTTTGTAAACTCCAAAATCATCATCATCACGCAGCAGGAAATTAAAATGGAAAAGACTTTAAACTGAAATTGAAGATTTCAAAAGGAAAGGAAAGAAGAGGAGAGGAGAGGAGAGGAGAGGAGAGAAAAGGAAAGGAAAGGGAAGGAAAGGAAAGGAAAGGGAAGGGAAGGGAAGGGAAGGGAAGGGAAGGAAAGGAAAGGAAAGGAAAGGAAAGAAGGAAAGGAAAGGAAAGGAAAGGAAAGGAAAGGGAAGGGAAGGGAAGGGAAGGAAAGGAAAGGAAAGGAAAGGAAAGGGAAGGGAAGGGAAGGGAAGGAAAGGAAAGGAAAGGAAAGAAAAAGAAAGGAAAGGAAAGGAACGGAGCTGTGCTAGTTCCTCACTCCTAGGACGAGATAGTAATTGATCCAAACAGATCGAAATTAAGCAAATGTAGTCCTTTCCTCCTTTAAAAAAAAAAATTAACTAAACACACAAAAGTTAAAAAAAAAACACCTTCTTTTTTCTTTTCAGTTCGCTTTTGGTATTCCGCTAATTAAAAAAAAGAAAGACAAATTTATTTATAAGTGGAGCAACTGGAAATTCTCAGCAAAACCTCCATCGGCTTCGCCGTCTATCATCAACTTCTCTTTTGCCTGTTCTGGAAATCATCTGTTGCTCCCGACAGAGATGCAAACTTTTTTTTTTTTTTTTGCTTTGAGCAAAAGTTTGGGAGAAAATAAAATAAAAATAAATTTCCCGGCAGGCCCACACCTGAACTTTTATTCGATTCCTTATTCCTTTCCCTTTTGGGGAAAACCTGAGCCTGGAAACTGCACCGAGAGAGCAATGGGCATTGTAAGAGGGGGGGGGGAGTGGAGAAAAGTCCTCCAGGAGAAGAGCTGGACAAGGTCTCACTTACGCTGGGGGGGCACCTTCAGCGGCGAGAGAGGACCGCTTCTTGAACGGCGGCGGCAGAACGCAGCCGGCGTTGATGAGATGCTCCAGAGGAAATGACTGCAACACTCAGCCAGACGGTCCAACTCAGAAGAGGAGGAGTTGGGGGGAGGCTGGGTGTGTGTGTGTGTGGGGGGGGGGAAGGATTTCAAGAGGGAGAGGATTGTTCCCCCGTTCTCCACTGGAAGGTGGTAGCGGTGCGTTCTCGTCTGCCTTTCTTCCCGGTCCTTCGGGCCGTGGGTGGGCGAAAACGTTGGGCGCCCTTCCCATTTGCAGATCCCACGAGGGAAGCTAGATAACAGATAAAGGATAGAGTTGGAAGGGGCCTTGGAGGTCTTCTAGTCCAGCCCCTTGCTCAAGCACAGAAACCCTACACGAGTCCAGAGAAATGGATAGCCAATCTTTTCTTGAAAGCCTCCAGGGATGGGGCACCCACCGTTTCTGGAGGCAGGCCGTTCCCTTGATGAATTAACAGAATAAGAGAGTTGAAAGGGACCTTGGAGGTCTTCTAGTCCAACCCCTGGCTCAAGCAGGAGACCCTACACCATGCCAGACCAGTGGCTGTCTTAAAAAACCTCCCGTGTTGGAGGAGCCACCACTTCTGAAGTCAAACCGTTAAATAATAAATAAATAAATAAAATAAACCGTTCCACTAATTAATTGTTCTCACTAACAGGAGATCTATCCCGCTCTAACAGGAGATCTATCCCGCTCTACCCCTGACGTGCTAGGTTTCTCCACGCAGGGAAGATTCCTCTGGGCAGATCCCCACTTAAATTCAGCAACCGGCGTCCGATCCCTTTCCTATCCCAAAAGACCGAATTACAATTTGCTCACCCCGACGGTGGGGACGGGAGAGTTCCACCCACCCGTGGGTTAGTTTTGAAAGAAGGAGCAGAAGGGGAAAAAAAAAAAATTAGGAAGCTTTGGGGAACAAACAAAACATGTTCGTTAAGGAGAAAACGCCGGTAATAGGGACCTTTCGGCTTTACAGCGGAATTTGATCGAGGCAAGCGCGATCAGAAAGGTTTTTGACCTTGGGCCGCCGTTGAATAATTCAGCATTTCTCAAAGCCCCACTGGAAGATCTGTCATTACTCTTCAACTGCTTGAACTATGAGCCCACTGTCCCTTGTCTTGTGTGTGTGTGTGTGGTTTTTTTTTTTAAATTATCACCTCCCCCCCGTTCAAAATGCAAATAGATCCACGGAGGATTGCGAGAAGAACGCACAAAAGTTTGGATTGTGTTTCAGTGGGGGGGGGTTTGTATGGGTGTGTTTTTAGAACAGGCCTATTGTTCAATTCGATTTGAAAATAGAAACTATTTATTTATTCGTGGTTTTTAGTATCGCCTGTTCACCGCCCTGAGTCCCGCAAGGGAGATAGGGCGGTATATAAATTTAATAAATAATAAAATTCAGAAACACTCAAGACGGATACGGACGGACGCATAATGAGACGAAAATAATTATAGGTCACCAGCCAAGTCTGAATCCCCGTGGTCAAAAAAGCCGAATTCCTTTTAAAATGCATAAATTCAGGGTGGGCGGCGGCCGCATTTAAAAGCATATGTACAGGAGGTAAATTTCCACAGCAAGAGGGAATCGACTAGGGTTTCCTGAGAGTTGAGGGACAAAAAACCACAACACACACACACCCCTTATGGGGAGAAAAAAAACAAACCTTTCAGGGCGATGTTAAATGGTGAGCTGGTGCCTCAGGAATATTAATGAGAAGATGCTTTATGCCAGGAACAATGCTGGGCGAGATGGCAGGACATCATACATTCAGTTTTGGGGTTGGCAAGATCCTTCCAAGACCTCAAGGGTGTTGGGGGTTTGAAGCAAAAGTGCCCACAAAGCTCCAGTCCAGGAGCAAAGATTTTTTTTTTCTTCTTTTCTCTCTCTCTTTTTTTTTTTTGGGGGGGGGGGGAAGAAAAAAAAGCAAAGCAAAAAAGGGAAGAATTCCAAGGAAAGCAACCGACAGGGTGAGTCGCAGAGGACAGAATTCCATTTTTGGGACAAGCTGTGTTTCTCGGCTGGCCTTCCTTCCCAAAATCCACCGAGGGGTGAAGAAGGACGAGCGCCAGCCCAGAACACAGAGAGTAAAAAAAAATAAAAATAAAAATGTAAATAAAAGGCTGTGTTTTTTGGGGGGGAGTGGCGTGAAGTAGAAGTGCTTGGAGATTTGGGTCAGCAAAGGTGACCAACAAGAAGGCACGGGACAGTGCAATACCAGACATGGCACTGGAAGGCAAAAACAAAACACAAAACTGTTGTCTCACTTATTTTGGCCACGTCCTCTGGGGGAGATTCATTGAAGCAAGCAATTACTTTGGGAAGAGTTAGCGGTAAAGGAAAGCAGGCCGTCAAAGAACATGGTGGCTGAACACCATCAAAGCTGACACTGGCCACGGAGCGTAGAATTTACTGCAGCTGCCAAAAAAAGCCAACACAATTCTAGGCTGTGTGAACAGAGGGATAGAATCGAGATCACGTGAAGTGTTAATGCCACTTTACAATGCCTTGGTAAGGCCACACTTGGAATCCTGCATCCAGTTTTGGTCACCACGATGTCAAAAACATGTTGAGACTCTAGAAAAGTTGCAGAGAAGAGCAGCAAAGATGATCAGGGGATTGGAGGCTAAAACATACAAGGAACGGTTGCTGGAATTGGGTACGTCTAGTTTAATGAAGAGAAGGACTGGAGGAGGCATGATAGCAGCCTTCCAGTATCTCAGGGGCTGCCCCAAAGAAGAGGGAGTCAAGCTATTCTCCAAAGCACCTGAAGGCAGGACAAGAAGCAACGGATGGAAACTAATCCAAGAGCCTGGCCAAAAAGGATCATAATTAGTCTCAAACTAACTAACGACAATTAGTCCAGTTGCCACGATTCAACCTTCAAGCACCTTTAGCCTGGATGACCGAGGATGGACATCGACAGATCATAATCAAGAGTTTTCAGATCTGCGTCTGATGGTCCTGTGGGGAAACTTCTGAGGATCCTAATAATTTGATCTCCTCCCAACTTACCCTTATCGTTCTCTCCCCACCTGCTGCCCTTCCCTCGTCGTAACAATGCTCTTCGACATAGATCAAGAACCGTTAGTACTTACCTTACGGCGTGCGTTGGTTGAATGAGGAAGTTATAGGATGCAGCGGGAAACGTACGCAGATGGAAACGCTGCTTCAAGCACTCTTTGTGGGTCTGAAGGATATAAGTCAAGAAGTATTCTTGGTTCTTCCCAACCATCAGCTTTCTCCCCAATGGGATTCTCTTCCAGGATGTGTATCTCAGGAGGTCCTCTGGTCCCTTGGTGGTGCTCCTGGAAACCTCTTAGAAAAACCAACACAAGCTTCTTCCTTGAAAGACTGAACTGAACCGAACTCATGTTGAATGGAAGGCAATCGGAGAAGATACTCAAACTTCAAAACAAGCCACGTCTACGGGCCACGTATATATATATATATACCTCACTTAGACATAAAGTTCTACAGCAGCCCTCAGTCCAGGAGGCAAAACATCATCAAACGTCACCACCAGCTGCTCTCTCAAACTAAGATGTTGGATGGAAAATGAACCTGGGTTTTTTCTGAAAGCAAAGCTGAGTAATTCTAGGAGTATTCATAGAGTAATCTGAGCACAGCATCTATCTCAGTGGTTCTCAACCTGTGGGTCGGGACCCCATTTGGGGTCGATTGACCATGTCACGGGGGTCGCCAAGCAAGGCTGTCCGCCATTTTTTTTGTCCGCCATTTTTTTCCCCTTTTCCGGCGGGTGCCTTACCTCCCTTGGGCTGGGCCAGCTGGTGGTCGGCCTGCTCCGTCTCTGCCGCTTGCCAGCTATGCTTCGGCCGGCGCAGGGGGCGGAACCACGCATGCGCGGCGCTCCCGGGCAGGGAAAGTCCTCGACTTATGACCAGTTGGGTAGTCCTCGACTTACAACCGGTTTAGTCCTCGACTTACGACCGGTTTAGTCCTCGACTTACGACCGGTTGGGGGTCACGGCATTAAAAAGGTTGAGAACCACTGATCTATCTGATAAGGATCCTTTGCAGTTACAAAGGAAAGCCTAAAAATCTGTCCAGTGTTAACGACATGCTAGGAAAGAATTGGGCATAATTTAAGAGCAGGGATGGGGAACGATGGCCCTTTTATGACTATGGCTAGGCTGGGGAATTCTGGGAGTTGAAGTCCACACGTCCTAAAGGGGCCACGGTTCCCCACTTAGAGGAATGACAAGTAATACAAATATTACAGCCTTAAACTCCTGATCTTTGCTTGAAGCTGCGAACAAAGCACCCAAAGGCAACTAGGTTAAATAATCTTTATTTCTGGAGTTGAGTCAGGTGATTTTACAAATAGATTTTTAATTTATTTGCAGTTTAGAAAGAGGAAGCCATCTGGCAAACCGACAACAAAAACAACAACAGCAAAAAATAATAATAATCCAGCCCTCAAGCCTATTTTCACACTCTCCGGCCACACGTAGCAAGATTTAAAAAATAAAATTCGACTTATATGATCTCTTTAATATATTCTCTGGCTTTTTTTTTTTTTGTCTTACTGGGAAAAAAAAACGGTATCAATTATAATACATTAATTAGGCAAGGGGAGTCAAGCAAACAGGTTTAAGGAGGAGTTTGATCTCCGAGCGCAGAGTTCGACGTTTTCTGAATTTTCTTTGAAAACATTGGTTTATTTTTAAAAAAATATATCGCGTGGAAGTGCAAGCAGAAAACGTCGAGAAAGGTATTTCTGGGGGGGGGAGAAAGACCATCTTTGGTGATTGTGAAAGAAGAATAAAGAACCCTACTTGTTGTACTCGCTGCCTCAACCTTTACCCCCTCAGTCAAAGTTTACAAGCAAGGACGGGGTTTCGAAAGAAGCGCTGGACTCGCAAACATCATCGCAACAACGGTTTATCTTAGGAAAAAACGGAGTACAAAAATGCATCAGTTTAGAGAAACACGCACACAGGAACGCATGCAAAAAAAATTTTTGTGCAAACTTGTTTCTTTTTTTTAAAATAATAATAATGTGAAAACGATGGGGAAAGAAACTTTGGCTAAGGAGAACGGAGTTCTAAAAAGAAGAGAAATCTGTTCTTTATCCCTAGCCAGTTTCCACTGTTCCTGGTTGTCCTTAACTAAGCTAACTTGGGTTTCTCCTAAAACGAAACGGAAGTGACAATGCAAAAAAAAAGAAAAAGAAACGGGGAGAATCGTGCAGCTCCTTGGGCGCGTGTTTTCCCAGGAAACGCGGAGAGGGAAGAAATCTCCTCAGGATCGCTTCCCGACCCTGGGAAAATCTGAGCGGCCCACTCCCCGTGGACGCATGCTACAGACTGCATTATTGTTATGATTATTGTTATTATTACTGTTTCTCACAAACATAACATGGTCCATTGGAGGAAGAGGAGGAGGAGAAGGAGGAGAAGGAAGAGAAGGAAGAGGAGGAGGAGGAG